TGCTGTCGTGTGTTGGTTTTGGCTCAGATATGACAAGGACTTGCAGGATAGTAAATGATAACATAGTAATACTAGAGGATGAGACATTGCTTATAGTAAATCCTACTTCTTTTCTGCTTCTCCCACATATTTCATCTTAATTGGTCTCTTCTGGGTAGCTGCTGTGCTGCAACCCTGCCCCTATGTTTAGAACAAGTCTCTATGCTATCATACCAGCGGTTTCTTCTCCTTTCAGCTGTCTTTTCTATTACCCATCAGTTATTATTAATTTCCCTCACCTTAATGGCTTTGTGAGACAAACAAATTCATTCCTGCAGTTTTAAGTTGCTTTGCCACCGTCTACTCCTTGCTAGAAGGGTATTAACTACCGTCAGAAGGGACTTTTATTTCACCTAGTACTTGACATCAGCCCCCAAAACTGCATGTTGGAGCTTGCAAAAAGCTCTGTCCCCAAACCCTGAGATGCCCAAAGACAGCATCTGCAACAGTGCCTTTAGAAACTCCACCTTCATAAAAGTAGAGTGGTTTTCCTTTTAACATACTTTAAGCAGTAGTCAAACTCTGAAAGGAAACAAATTTCATTCTAGCAAACCAGAGGACAAAATTCTTCATTTTAAAGAAATGGTAATGCAGTTACTAATTAAAACAAAACAAAAAAATTAGACAAAGTAGATGTAATAGTAGTTCGTGCCTCAGACATCACTCAGAAAACATCTCTGTAAGAGTCTTCTCAGGTTGGGTAGAAGTTAGTTCAGCTTCACTTTAAGGATGCATTTTTCATAGCTCACATTAAACTTTGGATGTCTACACACTCCAGTTAGAAGGAAGAGTGACTGAGGGGCTGCTGCATTCAAATATGTCTTCACAGCAGCCCGTGAGTCTTGCTCCTCTTCCTGCTAATTAATTAATCTTACAGATATTTATTGTTCTAATACCTCTGATTAGCTCTGGTTGTTTGTGGTAATGCAGATGAAACAGCATTCAGCTCGTCTAGAATAAGAACACATAAAGCTTTGATATGCTAATTACTTACATAAGGTTTTCTCTCTAGGCAATCAGCTGAATTTTGCATTGTCTCCGATTTCTCCCTTCCCAGGCAACAAAGCTCTCGGTATTGTAGGTTTTCCTGGCTTCAGTTTTGTATCAGAGGAGCTGTTAGGCAACATCTGTAGTTATCGGAAAATGAACTACATTGCTGCTTTTCTATAGGAATCTCACACAACATTAATGACACAGATGGGTCCTCCCCCATCTGTCATATTTACAGAACCAAGTATCCCAATGTCCTTTATACACTTCCCGCTTTGTGCACTTTGTCACCTCAACGGCAATGGTAAAGCACCATGTTTGGTTGGCATTCTTTTTTTAGTAAGTTTAATACTTATCTTCAGATGGCAGTATGTTTTCAGACAGGAGTAGAGAAGCGATTCGGGATTTTTTTCAGTATCGTATCAGGAGTCTCATTCCCGGTAGCGAAGAAGGCATATGTATCTTCCTTCATATGCACAGATCAGCAAATCTGCATATTAAAAAAAAAAAGCCACTATTGCCTATATTTAGCATACAAACTATCCAGTGTGGGGAGGGAGGAATGTTTAACAGTAAGAACACAAAACGTCAGAATATGTAATTAATAGTTGTGAACTTTGTTAGGGTACAAAATTTGCACGTAGTGTTCCGAGGTGGTATTCAAAGCTAAGATGTCACAGCTCCCAGGTATCTCCCTTGTTTCTGCTGGAGTTTGCAACAGAGGCAATGGAGGCAGCAAAGCAGGTCATCAGAGTCACTAAAGATCATATTCTAGCCTAGCCATAGGCTTAAGTAGTTGCAGAACTGTATATAAAATTAAAATGAACCAAATATACATTAAAACTCGCCCTCCGTATGATTCATCTCCCCTTTGATCATGTGCACAAAACACATGCCCTGCCACATACCTGGCCCCCGGCGCAGCTTCCCAGCTCTCCCCCCTGGTTTTCTGTGTGGCCTTTTGTCCAGTGGGACAAATGTCCCACACTACATGGCCCAAGTCCATTCGCTTGGCGGGACCTGGTGGTAACATTAATTATAGAAGAATAGAGCCTTGTCTTCTTCAAATGAGGTTCCTTGAGAAGACGCCTAGTTCAATGTTCAAGGCAGGATCAGCTGTATTTACCGCACTCCTCACGTATGCGTCTAACCTGTTCTTAGAGACTTTTGTTGATAGATTTTTCCACTGCCCTTCCCAATACTTAACTACTGTAATCACTAACCTGATCTTTTTCTTCCTATGAGAAGAAACATGTTTGTCTGGTTTATTGTTATCTTAATCCCCTCAACAATAGACTTTATGACCCCGTAGACTGTTATGTCCAATGTAAGCACTTATCTTCCATCCAAAGCAGGTTGTAGGTGTTGCCTGCACAACAAAGTCACATTTAGAACTACGCTATATCGCTATAACATGTACTAAATGGATTAAAGGCTGTGTTTTAAGAGACATTAGGAAGTAATTCCAATGAAAAATGTCAGATGAGAGACTTTTTAACTGGACTCCAGAGGAGTCTGTTCTCGAGCCAGGGCTGCTCTATTAGCTCGGTCAATTATTTGGAATTAAATGAAGCCCTGCTCATGAAATCTGCAGGTCACTTCAAAACAGTCGAAGGCCGAAGGCCACCAGGGCTGGCGGCCACTGCGTGATTTAAATCACAAAGTCAGCAAATGCCCCTTGAACAACATGGGTTTTAATCCACCTACATAGCAAATATTTATGCATCAAAGATGAGGTTGCTGGCTATGCACAGGAGCAAAAATACAGAGCATGCTTTGGGGCTGGGAGTAAGGAGGAATACTGTATCTTCAAAAGCATTAGATCAGACGAGGGCTGAGGACATCACGAGGGATAAATATGCGACTGCGAGCTGCCAAGGCAATGTGGCAGCTGTAACAGCAAATGCAAACATTAGGTATCTAAGCAAAAATACTGAAGAGTACTATGCGCTAGTATGTGGCTATGACCATTACATGGCACAGTAACATGACTACACTGGAATTACGATGAATGATAAAAGGTGTAACAAACTGGAAAGGCTCATTAAGAACCCAGAAGAATGAGTCAGTGCAAAGTCTGCTCTGTACAAAGGTGACACATAATTATCTACACAGCAAAAACATAGCAGAAAGGCTCTGTAATCTTCTGTACATAGCAAGATCCATTTGCTAAAGAAGGAAAATGTTTAATCTTTAAAAATGATGGCATTTTTCATGCGTTTCCTTTCTATAGGTTTCTTTAATTTTTTAAAAGATAAATCCCCGAAACCGTACATACTGCAGTTTGATGAGCAGTGCCTGGCACGAGCTGAATTTAGCTCCTCGTGCCAGCCTCCTCCTCCATGGTGCCAATGATCCAGCGGGACACGCTTCCCATTGAGGAGCACCACCAGGCACTCCCGAGGGTGCCGTCATCCCAATCCCAGGGGTGCACTGCGTAGAAAATTCGCTTAATCTGGGAGCCCTGCCTGTGCAGAATGATGAAACCAGAGGCGTTAGCTTTTCAGCTTCCACCAGAAACTAACAGTTGAGATAGGACTGAGATTATTTTAGAGTTTATTACCCTTTCTTTTTTCTAAATATAGATATACAGATAAAAAACTAAAGAAAAAGCAATTTATGGGGCAGATGAGGAGGCAGCGGTCAGAATCAATAGCAAGAAACATCTCAGTAAGGATGTGGTGAATTTTCTGTCAGTTAAGGTCTTTAAACGGTAGCTATTACTGTGCAGAAATCACCCTGCAGAGCAAACAACGCCGAGCAGCGCCCGCAGCACGGCTCGCTGCGTGGGATCCCCGCTCCTGTGCCGCAAAGGTCAGGCCGGGCGATGGTAACAGGTCTGTCTTTCCCATCTCCGGACCCCAGCAGCACTATTTGGGCCAGACCCGGGAGGCGGCCCCCCAGGGCAAGGGCGACCCTTCATTTAGGCTCCGGCCTTGCACCCCAAGTACCGATACCCCCCCCCCCCCCCGGCGACGCCTCGCCGCCCGGCCGGAGCGCGGCGCG